TGCCTGGGGGTAGCTTCGCATCCTCAGCACTCGCTCAGAACCGAGTCTGTCAGCAGTTGCATTCTGGCCACAAACCATAAGACGATGGTGTGGTGGCATCGCCTGAACTTTTCCACGATTGGTTCTATTGATCTTGAGATTGTTAAGTTAATAGTTTGTGCATAATATTAATTCATCGATTCATTTGGTAACATTGTCCTTTTGCTCATGGTACATGATCACATGTTTTAGGTAAGGAATCGGTTATGTTTAGTTCTTCAAATTTTGTAAAATTTTACCTTGAGGCTAATGGACTGAACAAGACACAACAAAAGCAGATGAAAAATTCTCATCATGGAATTGTTACTCTGAATCGTGAAAATTCAGCACATCAAGGAGGGCATGATTGTTTTACATGCTTAATGTGTCTAAGAGGAAGAACGATTCACCCCCCAAGTAATTGGACACATTTTCATGATTATTATAGTCAACTGATATATATATATATTTTACTTGGGAATGTAGCAGCCACTAGTGGCTTCACGGTTGACATGAACCCAAAATATATTGCACGTACAATTTTAAATACGTCACTTCATGTGTCATGAGCTTAGAGAAGGATACCCCACCAACATTCAGATATAATTTGTCACTAATGTGAGCCACGGCCTTTAATCGCACTCAGACCGCTGGGTTCATAGCGCAGTGCGATAACTCCTGGGCCACCACTTCCCCCACAAGTAGTGTAATCTCTGAGTATTATTAAACAAGAGCGATTGCGTGGACAGACGACATTCTCCTGAGGATACTCTGTAAGCATGAGGTTGAAATAATTGTATAACTTTAGGTATTTACAATATATTTTTCATTGAGTTCGGCATTCTGTCGGCCAGTGTGTCAAACATTGGATAGGTTTCTCTTGACAAGCACTCCATTGACATCAACTTCAAATACCACATCACACACATTGCATTATGCAGGCATTGCCCCTTGCCCTGGACCATCGCCTCCTGCCTTGAGTCACGACGCTCCTGGGTGGTGTTCATGGCAACAGAGAGCGCTGTCTTGTCTCGACGGACAGAGCCTGTCGAGCTTTGAGATGCATCATTCGGTGGCCTTCCTACAGTAAGGATCCTCCATTAGGCAATCCCACAAATTAAACAGCCCCACCGTTAACATTTCGTAATCACCATAATGTTGCATATGCGGTGTCACTTTCAAGGTGTATCGTTTTGGCTTATTTAGACCGTTTGAGACATGAGTGGAAGGCGCCTTAGAAATAAATGTAAATTATTATTTTAGTGCCACTCGTGGGGTTATTTTTTTACCATCCTTTACATTGCTCAAGATTGGTTCAGATATCACTTTCCATTGATGTTAGCCGTGGCCTGAAATCAATCTCAGGTCACTGTGCTACCCACTGCACCACTGCATCTCACCCCAGTAAAAAACACATGGCTCATTTATAGGATAAGTCAGTGGTTTGGCACGTACGTGGACATTAATTTTCCATCATCATCCCAGCATTGATGAAACAATCAGTCCATCTGAGTGTGATATCGTGGTATTGTATGAGCTTTTCACTCTAATCAAGAAAGGTGGACACATTATTTATATCTGAATTATACTATACTCATTCATTTACATTATGCAAATATAAAGCCATGTCATTATTAAGCTAATAATTACCCATATGTTTAATGTGTCTCAAATGTTCCTCGGAAATCGTGGAACTGACGAATATTGGAGATGTATGTATGTTGAACTTGAGAACCCGGGTTAATCGCAGATTGGAGTCTGGATTTGAACTGAGGATCTCGGCCGTGCCAGCTCGGCGCTCTGACCTTAGAGCCGCTTGAGCACTCCAAACTGTGGTGAATCTTAAACCCGGCACCATGTTTCATGGTGGCTTGCCCCCGGATTTTTGCAGACCGCCGTTGCAATCAAAACGGAGGCTGCTGCTCTCCGGTGGACGTGTAAGCGGTGCGTTTTGGAAACAACACAGCCCCGCTCACCGAGATGGTGGCTGTCGTTATGCGACACATGAAACGCTTACCGCTAAACAAAGGCTCCGTCAACAGGAAGCTGGGTCCCCATTTTCGTCTGGTTTTGTACTGTAGTGCCGTTTTAGCATCGTTGATGCTTTTTTTTTATTTTCGCCCAAAACCACGCGTCTATCGTCGGCGAGGGTTGGCGCTTAATGTAATATATATCCCAGCCTCCTGGCGTCATGTGCCGCATGAGCCACCGCAAGCGAAGATCCGCTTCGAGCGAGGTATTGGACGCCCGTTTCAAGCCTCGGCGCCCTGTCCACAGTTTAAATCAAAATCTTTATTTAGACTGGAGGAGGAATCCGATGAAATATTAAGCTCTTTTTGACAGATGTCCAGGAGGGGCGGGTTCAGAAAGTTACAACAGCAAACAATACAAAAACACGATGGAGTGCAAAGTATAGGAAAGGTAAACTGATTATTTTAAATATAAACTAGTTGTTTTTTGTTATCAGGTAAAGCCCACTGAGCTCTTAACTTTTTTTTCAGAAGCGACCTGGCCAAAAATGAATGGCTTATCACCTGGAAATTTATAGCAGCACAATAATCAGCGCAGAAGCTTAAGATAACCATTTCGTGTATAAACGACAGTCACTATCTTGCAATTATTAATTTATACGATGCAGATGATGGAGCGGTGGTACAGTGGTTAGCACACTTTGCAACAAAGCATGGCTAACATCAGTGGCACGTGATATCAGAACTGGTCCTGCCCTCCTTCCTCTTTCACCAACCTGCACTGACTGGTGAAGTACAGTAAAGCAAATCCCCCATGACCGATGATGCCACTGGAAGGCTTTCATCCAATGGTGGATTGAGAATGGCTGGAATCTCTTATTTTACAACACTGCAGCCACGTTCGCAGATATGTTCAAGTGCTTTGGATGTTTATTGGCAAATGTAATGCATATGGAATGATACTGTACTCACTTGAGTGTATAGTCAAGTACTGTACTGTGTGCAAATGTTAGGCCTATAATGATTCTCCCTCATTCTATTCAGCGAGTTGTCCTGGCATGATTTTATTCAAATAACTTTTTTTATCGTGGTGAATATAGGAGCGTCTATTGGCAGCAGCAAAAACACACAGACCTATTGCCTATAGGGTATACAAATAATTGTAAATGTACAGCTCTTTGTGAATTCATTGCTGGATGAAGTTGTCGGTAACGGGGTTTTTGACCATACCTTGCCATGCTGGTCAGTGTAAGTTGGTGAAGGTGGGACCCAGGACAGTTTCAGATATCGCTCTTCACTGGTGTTAGCCATGGTTTGGAATTTAACTCAGGAAACTGGTACGTAGCAGTTTGCGAACCACTGAACCACTGCTCCACCCATAATGGGTATACAAAGCTGTTGATTTTGAAACAGATGATTTGCATGTATATCGTTCATATACATATTGGCAAGTGTGTAAACGTTTGCTGTGCACAATAATAATATAGTGCTCAATGACTGGTAATATTAATACTGCTTCAGTAAGCATTAACCTCATCCTCATGGATCAGTCGGTTGTGGTTTAAGCCCATCTCCGATATATTCTGAATCAAAGTCTCCCTTGGCTGCCATCTCTCTATTGATCGTAATGGTGCCTTGTTGGTTGGCTGGGTAGTTTGTGAGATCTATTGGCATGCCCAAACAAAGAATTGCACATTTCCTTGTTTAGCGGTGGCTAGAAATCTGTATTTGTTTACGAACTGGGTGGTAATTGTGCCCCATGCACATTCATTAGGGAGGTGTGCTGTTCGTGAGGTGGTCTTCCTCCCCCCTCTACCTGAGTAACTTACTCCAGCCATACAAACTTGCTTGTCCCCTTCCCTCTGCCAACTCTGACCATCTCCGCACCCCTCACCTGCTCCTGGCCAACGTCGGTGACTGCTCCATCAGTCGCTACCCCCCCCCCTCGCTCTCTGGAATTCACACCCTCTCATCTTCGGCTCTCCTCACTAGCTCTCTTCAAATCTCTACTACAAACGTTTATCTTTGGCTGACCGTGCTTTCCACCCTCCCTAGTTATAGTTTAGTTTTTTTTCCATTCCTTTCCACCACTTGGTATCCAATTCGTACACTTCCCGTTGTGCAGCACTTGGAGAAGTTTGGTATTTGTGATTCGGCACCTTCTAGGTGAGCGTTGTTGTTGCTGTGGCAGGGTGGCCCAAACGTTAGCGTGCCGAGCTGGCGCTGCTGACGAACCTTGGTTCGAATGTACGCAGCTGCCTATAATTGGGGTGCCATGGTGGTGAGGTGTTAACTACCTCACCTGGTATATAGGAGTTCGTGGGTTCGATCCCGACCCTGACGCATGTATTTTTGGAGTTTGCATGGTCTCCCCGTGATCATGTGGATTTTTCTCCGGGTCCTCCGGTTTTTCCCTCCACATTTAGAAACATGCATTTAGAGTATTTGGCTGCTTTAAATTTCTACGTGATAAGCCGCTTCGTTGAGCTGTCAATTGTGGCCAGATCGCTTCCAAAAAAGAGCTACATAGCTCAGTGGGTCTTACCTGGTAAAATACAAATAGTTTAGCTCCTGATAATCACACTGGGTCCTCAAGTGTAGTGAATTAATGACTTCAGCCCAGTCACCAAAGACTCCACAACACTTATTGTTAAATATGGTTCTGTACTTAATTTGGAAAAATTCCAGCTCTAATTATAAAAATATCAGTTTGACTGCCATGCGATGAACCGTGCTCTCATGCCGAATGTGCTCAACTGTGTCTACTAGAGGTTATTTGAAGGAATCTCAGAAGTAGCTCTGTGATGTCTGCTTCCGTATTCTGTTGTCTAACGCAAAGGGTCGCTCGCACTGCTCTGTTAAGAGATCTAAATGGATACTTTGTCGCATGACATGACGCCGGTAGCACAACCAGGTTAAAATTCAGCAAATAACAAAATAACAAATTCAAATGTCCTGTCCATATCTGTGCTAATTGCTTTATCCTTTTACCTCCGCCCCTTGCGCTTCCAGTTCACGGAAGAGAAGCTGGGCCAGGCGGAACGCACGGAGCTCGATGCCCACTTTGAGAATCTGCTGGGCCGTGCGGAAATGACCCGGCACTGGACCGACAAGATCATGCGCCAGGCGGAGACCCTGCTCCAGCCCAACCCCAGTGAGTAGGGGCCGTGCGCGTCTCTCGCCCTTTCATGAGGTGGACAAAACAGAGATCGGTCTAAAGCACAGTGTTTGGCTTTGTCAACGTAGTTTACCCTCTATTTAAGACTGGAACAGGAGGGTTTCTCCACAAATCTGGGTGTCACCTGACAAAATGTCATACTCGAATTGTAAATGTAGTGGGTTTACTCTCCATCACACCGGTGTGCTGTACCAGGAACGAATTGGCATGTTTTGTTTACGTGACAGCCCTTACTAATTAGCTGTTGGGTGGTGGCAGGTTTAACGACACATTTATATTTACACACTCTAACCCATAAAACCTCTTATGAATAATATTGCTCGCGAAATCCTACTTGTTAAACTTGGTTCACTCTCGTGTGTGTGTGTGTATGTATGTTGAACTTTTTTCGCGGTGTACGTAGCCAACCGTGCTAATGGGAGGTGCAGGGGGAGGACAACAAACTAAACACAACAAGCAGTTCTTTAAGAGATGAGTTTTTGTTGTGTACATTGTCTCGACCAGTGGTTCCCAACCTTTCTTTTGTGAAAATAATGGTGGTTCCAAGAATTTTGCGGACCATTTCGCACAGTTTTTCCAACCATTCGTCAAAACGGCATTGTTTTTAAAGTTGTATGTTGGTCTGAAAACACTTTGTTACTCATCTCAAAATCTCCCTTTGTTCTGGCACCTCAACATGTAGGGCGTGGGAGGCGCAGTATAAATAATAAATGATGACGACAAAGATGACCCATGTCCTTGTCACCGACGCCTTCTAAAGAGGCCAAGGGGTCATCACGGATGATGCCGTTAACCCTTTCCCGTTCCCAGACGCCTGCAAGTTGCAGGGTGGCGTCCCGTTCACCGCTGAATCTTGGCGTTCATTTTAGAGAGACGTAGCGCCGTTTTTAAAGACAATGTGCTCACCGCAGAGAACCGTAGCTACACGACCGCAATCTATTATAGCTGGCGCCAAACTGTGGGAGCCGCGGTACTGATAACCTTAGCTTATTTCAGTTTTTCTTCCGGTTCAGTTCCATTGACGTACACGTATGTCACGACGTACATGTATGTCATTGGAACAGAATCGGAAGAAAAACTGATGCCGTACATGCACATCATGGGAATGGGAAAGGATTAATATGGTGGAGATTTATCGAGCGTCTGAGAATGCCTTTTGCCGTCACTTCTTTGTGCCTGCACAGCTGCGTTGCGGAGTCCACACCCCGTCTCGTTATGCCTTTGCCTTGATCGCTGACCTTGGTGCCATTCCATTGCCTCTCACTTTTTTATCGATTAGATATTTATTTTAAATCCCCAGAGTTTTACAGGGCGATCCACGCCTCGTTTTCCCACAAGGTTGTGGGACCAAGTAAAGAAACTACGGGAAATTCCACATTTATCGCAAAGGCATGTGGTCACTATAGTACAGTATTAGGAAGCCACTGGAGCGTTTAAATCTAGATGGAAAACGTATTACTTTAAATCTGCTTTTTGTATTTAGTTTGTTCTTCCCCTCACCTCCGATGAGCATGGTTGGCTACGTACAGTGTGCTGACCATCTTCTTGTGCGGGGATGTGAAGTTATGACCAAATTTCTTACGTCCCAACACCTCTGTACACCCAGCATGTGGTGGAGTAAAGTGTAGGTACTGCCACCTTTTCCAACACATTTGATCAGGGTGGAAGAGAGACCAAATCCTTTCTATAACTCCTAGTGCAGGTCTCTCCGCCAGCAGTGGTGCGATTGAGTAATTGCAGGGCTGTGCCCAATATAGCTGAAAGCTCATGTTGGACAGAGGGCACACGGCCGAAATGTACATACAAGATAAGAGCTCTTTTGTTTATTTGGAGTTCAACCTCCTTTATCGGAATAAGTGTCAGTGTGTCAAGACATGTATCTGCTGAATTGATTTCGACGGGGTCATGCGTGTGACTGTACGGTGCCATTTTGGTCGAGGCCTGAAGGGTTCTACTCAGGAGGGTTCTTTGTGCTGCTACTTTTACGATGGCCGAGCATGTGACCGAGCCGTTTTGATGAGGCAATTTTAACCCCACTTAAAATTTCCCATTTTAAGCAGCGCATATCGCATGCATTAAAACCCGGTTGTAACTGTCTTGTACGAAGGAAAGTGTGGTCAAACTGTCCCTGTGTCGACACAGCATGGGGAGTCCCTCATCCAGCAGCGGATTGATAAAGGGTCGTAATTTATTGTCATCATTGGGTGAGCGTACATAAGAATCTGATTAATTGCAGACCTAGTTGCCGTTCCTTTAATGTCCACACATGCATGATACCCCCACATGCATAATACAGTACACACACTTGAATAATACATCCGCACAGTATGTACGCACACACATAAAACCACTGCAAGAACAAGAGGCATTGTCAGTGGACTGCCGTGAGAGAAACCGGATCGGCTTTTGACCTGACCCAGAGACTGTGATAACTGATTAAGAGAAAGACAACTTCTCAGGTTTGATTTGCTCTCTGTTTAGGTCTTGAGCCTGTGAGAAGGAAATTCTCTCCTTATTTGTGACGACCACATTCCAGACATTACAAGCACCACTGATCAGATATTGACAATGGTTTTTTTTTTCTAGGAACTAATCTGTAGTTCGTTTTGCAGGGCGACCAGTCACACGGACGTGCGGAGGTTATGGGTTGAGAGGGTCTGATTGTGTTGGGCACCACGGTGGCGAGATGTTAACTACCTCGCCTGGTATACAGGAAGTCGTGGGTTCAATCCTGACCCTGATGCTTGTATGTTTGGAGTTTGCATGTTCTCCCCACGGTCGCATGGATTTTTCTCCGGATCCTCCGGTTTTTCCCCTCTACGTTTAGAATCAACATGTGTTTTGCGTTTTTGGCAACTATAAATTTCCACTCGATAAGCCACTTCGTTGAGCGGTGGTCTGGTCGCTTCTGAAAAAGAGCTACTCAGCTCAGTGGGCCTGACCTGGTAAAATAAAAAAATAGTTTAGTTTATTACGATGACTGCTCACGTCTCCTCCCTCTCCCCCCCCACCTCCCTCTCCCAGATGCGAGAATAGAAGACTACTTCTTTGAGAAGCTGGAAGGGAAGGCTCCCCTTCGGGCCACCAACTCGGAGTATCTCGGCCAGTACATGATTGAGGCCGGGCAAGAGTTTGGACCGGGCACTGCCTATGGTAGGGTTCGTGTGTACAGCCAAGGATGGCACAACATCGCACGCCACTAAGGGCTGTGTTCTTGGTCACCGCACGGCTCTGGGCGTGGCCTCTAACGTGGCTCAGCTCAGCCTTGAGCTGCTCGGTGGCTTTCGAAGACACGTGAGAGAGGCTCAGCCATGTTCAGAGCTGGCTCAAGCTTAGCAGGGCTTTGAGCTGACTCCCTTGAGCCAGAGCCAAGCCTCAGCCGAGCTGTGATGAAAGATATGCGCCTAAGTGTTATTGCACAATACTGAGTGAACTGGACTTCGCTGCACTTTACGACATTGCACACCAATCAATGTCATTGCACTACAGTGAGTACACAAACCACTGCACTGCATTGCTTGACACTGAATCATACTTTACTGCACTGAAAGTGACTACTACATTCGTATAATATATGCAAATGCTGTACATGTACACGCTTCTCCATGCTCCTTACACTTCTCCTTTGTAAATGTATTGAACACAAATACCATGATAGTGACATTGATGATGATTGTAATCTGTATACCTGAATGTATGCCATATTTATTCTCTCTATCCCTTCTAGAACATAATTATAATTTACATCAATCAGTCACTTACATTCAAATACATATTGTTTAAATTGCTACTTTCCAGCTACGTAGAATATATTTTATGTAATATATTTTTCTTGCTAGAGCAACATCTGTATTGACAAATGTGTCAAGTTTTGTTGTTTGTGCTTGTGCAGCACTGCCAACACAGTCTCAACATTTATCTTATTTTATACTTTGGTTGTGTACTCTCATTTAATAACATTCATTCAGTATGTGCCTTGGTTAAATATATGCAGTGGTTACTTCGTTGATACGTATTGCATCCCCATACTCGCTTAGCAGTCGTGCGAGTGCACACACACACATGCGTAAACAAGCGTACTGGGTTTGCACACAGTCACGCTGTAGTAACATACAAAGACAAAGATCCCCCGTATAGCCTTGACAGACTGTTAGGGCATTTGCTGTTACCGAGCACCAATGAAGGCCGTCACAGCACACGAGGAGGTGAATGGCCAGCACTATGCCTGGCTGCCTTTGTCTCCCCAGTGCCAATGTTTACACACTGCACCAGGTACTCGTTTGAGGTTGCACCAGGACCGGTTCAGATAATCGTTACCAGTGTTGGCCGGGATCGGGAACCGAATCCGGATCGCCGAGTTCGTAGTGCAAGCGCGCTAACCGCTCCCCACATACACACGTGCACACACAGAAATACGGTGGGCGTGTGCGCATGTGTGCCGGTGCCAGGCTGCGCCCTCATCAAGTGCGGCACCACACAGAAGGAGCTGGGCATCTCGGAGAAAGATTTTATCCAGACGACGGCCAATGGCTTCCTCACGCCTTTGCGCAACTTCTTGGACGGCGACTTCAGGACGATCGCTGTGAGGCTCCACACTCCGTCGGGACACTCCGACCCGACAGCTTCGCTCGCTCATTCACTCGCTCCCTCGCCCGCTCGCTCGCTCCCCCGCTCCCCCAACCAACCTTCCCTGTGGCCACACCTTTGACAGTCAAAACATTGAGCCGGGCAAGATGCACAAAAATAGATGGTATTGTTTTTCTTCAACGGGCCAGTTCCGCAAATGATGTGACCTTACTGTGAAAATTTCACAATCCCAACAATTCACACGGAGTGTCATTTTGAAGGTATTTCCATTTTTAGAAATGTACAGCTCTTCAGTCCACTGATGGTCGTGCCTTGTCATTCGTGGGGGTTTGTTGACCATACTTCACTGCACTGCTCAGGAGCTCAGGATCTGTTTCTGTTATCACTCGCCATTACTTTTAGCCGTGCCTTGAAATCGTACTAAGGTCACATGGCTTATATATGTAATTAAACAGTGGTTTGACATGTATAAATGTTGTGGATTTGCTCCCCAACACACTGGTGTGCTGTACCAGTAACGAATTGGCACGTTCTGTTTGTGACATAAACAGAAAGTGCCAAACCATACTAATTGGCTGTGGCGGGTGGTGGCGGGTTTAACGACACATTTATATTTACGCGAGCTAACCCAAAAAACCTGTAATATGGATGTATATGAAAATTAATTGCACTGTCAACATCTCGGCGTGGATGAGAAAGTCAGTCCTTCGGAATACATTCGACTCAACCGCGGTACTTTATGGCCATTCTCCCGCATAAATTCCTCCTCACTGATTCACATATGACACCCAAATATAAAGGCAATTCACAATTACTCCAATGATATACTAAACGTTTAAAACTTCTGAAATGTACGTCCAGAATTGTACAACTGTGCCCCCATGCACACAGTTGTACACATTTTGAATCGAATCTGCGTCATAGTTTTCTCTCGAGATAATGGAAAGGTTTTTTTGGTACTGTTCAACATATAATAAAGTAATCATTTCAACTTGTAAAACGCGTAGTATTCGCTCACTCTCGTAGAGAGAGAGAATGACTCGGAGGCACGAGGAGGAACCGCAGGCAAGCAGGAAGGCAACAGCCTGGCGATGAGCTGGCGCTACCAACAATAATGTATTATTGTCATGTTTGAGTGTAGATGTTGGTACTTAATAACGATGGTAGATTCTGGTGTACAGATGTGACTTGTGTGCTCTCTGACGTTAGCGTGATTTGGTTAAATAACCAACTGTTTGCTAATTTGCGATGCATATATTAGGGGCTGGGTGAATAATTTCGTTCTACTGTTTGACAAAGGGAACACAAGTAATGGGCAGGTCGAGTGGATAGGTCTTGATGAAGATGGGGTTCTGTCATGCAATATAACACTGGCATTACAATCTTTTAATGGTTTATTCTTTGGATTAAAATGTTAGCTATTATCGTTATGAATACATCTTTTTCTTCTTCCTGTGGGGTCACCCCAAATCTCGTGTTTGCAAAACTCGACCAAGAACTCTGAGCGAATGACCCAGATGATGATAGTGGTCGTGTTGACGTTGCTAAGAACTATGGCGGCGGTGGCGGCGGGGGCTTCCTGCTGTCTCTTGCATGCAGAAGGAGAAGAAAATTCTGGAAAACAAGCGCTTGGACCTGGACGCATGTAAGTCCCGGCTGAAGAAAGCTCGCAGCGCCGAGGCCAAGGCTGCGGTGAGTGCCACGCGCGCGTCCACAAAGTTAACACACTGCACGCGCTTGTGCGTACGCTCGCTTGCACCCACGTTTCGCCCATGCCCCCGGAGCCGTTGCTGTTGTGACGAACGCGCTTGCGCGTTGTTTTTGATCCATCCAGTCGGAGCGTAATCGCCGTGCGTGTGAATCTGCACACCGACATCGGCGCCGGGGGAGAATGAGGTCGGCTTGGCACCCGCGTGTTTTTGTGGCACTGACCTCTCGGCCTACTGCCTTGCATGTCATGCCGTCCTCAATAGGTGCTCGCAAACAATGCGGACTCCAATTATATCACTAGACTGAGAGATTAATCGTGTGTACGTGTGAGCGGTAAGTGTAGCGGTTAGCGCGATGCGCTATTATCCCGGCGACCCGAGTTAGATTCCAGCTCATGGCCAGCAACGGTGACGATTCAACTTCTAATGAGTACCTGGTGCGGTGTGTAAAAACATCGCCACTGGGGAGACAAAGGCGGCCAGGCGTGGTGCTGGCCACCCACCCCCTCATGTGCCGTTCTGGCCTTCATAGGTGCTCGCTAACAGCACTTGCCCCAACAGTCTGTTAAGGTTACCAGCAGCAGGGCGTTCACACATGGGGTTCTGTGCCTCCTTTATGGCTAATCGGCCAAAATCTCATTCCTGGAGCAATGTGTGGACAAATCCGAGTGCTGTGGACATGACGATGTCGCGTGGAATGTTGTAGTCATTCCCACAGCTGGCAGCACGACCATGCGTACGAGCAGCGCCCGAGACAGGGTTTTGGGTCCGAGTCATTTCCCTCATATTTGGACATTGTCAGTGAAAGTTATTTTAATCTGGTAAAATGCAATATAACCTTGTTTTCATGAGTAATGTTGAAATTCCGAAAGAAACGAAAACTACGTTATTGTATTCATATTCTTAGTTTTTTCGGTAAAGTCACGTTGAAGGGAAACAACAAAATAATAAAATATATATAAAACAATAAAAAATTCTCGACGTTTCGACCATAACTCGGTCGTCTTCAGGTGTGTTGGTTTGCATTAATTTATTTTTAAACGGCACATTTATTTATTTATAAAAACGTTAGCGCCACGCGCAACGATTTGGCAGTTTATTTAGGACTAGTCCATCTATATTCTGAAAAGAGGAGGGGGGAGACGAAATTTTATAATGTATGCGGTTTATCAAATCTTTCCAATGATTGCTAAGATAGAATCCATCTTCTCGGTTGAAATTGTCTCTGTGCTTGTATATGTAGATAGCCTCATGAACGAATCTCTCATGGAAAGATTTGATAAACCGCATACATTATAAAAAATTTCGTCTCCCCCCTCCTCGTGAGAATTTTTAATTGTTTTATATATATTTTATTATTTTGTTGTTTCCCTTCAACGTGACTTTACCGAAAAAAACTAAGAATATGAATTACTGCAGTCACGAAAGCTTTAAATTTACGTTATTGTACTTCCGTGGTACACATTCACCATCATCCCTCTCACGGGCCCCAAAGATCACATGACCGCTCCTTCACCGCACATGCGTCCGCTGTATTCCGTCGTGAGCTCAAGCCGCATAGAAGAATCGCCCTGCGTATTTCTTGCGTGGCAAATTAAAATGTCATCCGCAGTTCACATTTTAAAGTCTTACAACGGCCAGCAGTACGCGGCTTCTGTGGTGCCACTGCAAAGAAACGGGCGCTCTCCAGTGCCGCGTTTGCGCATTGGCACTCAACGCTGCGTGGCCACAAACTTGCGGCGTGTACTTTTCTCATCGCCTGCTGTGTCTCCCATCTCCTCCTCCTCCTGGTTCCCTCTCTTCGGCCGCTGTCTCTTGCGGCTCCGCGTGAACGTGCATACGGCCCCGTAACCCCCCTGCGGAACCCGCTTCTGGGACCACCCCCGCAGACCGAGCCGGATTTCAACGAGATCCGCCCGCGAAATTACGTGCTGTCGGCCAGTGCGGCGGGGGTAAGGCGGCGGACGCTTTGCCGATCTGCCGGCCACTCCCTGGGCCAGGAAGCTGATGCCAGGTTTTCACGACCGCTGGGGGAAGAGTGCTGGCAGCCCTACTAAGGCGGACACGATACCCGAGCCCTCGATTCCACCGTATTAAACATTACCGCACAGGGACGTGCCGAGGCTGGCTCAGGAGGCGTGCGTGGCTCAGGAGGTGCCTTGTTGTTTTTTTTCCACTGCAGATCCCAAGCCGTGTCATTGACGTCACATTAAATTGACGAGTCGAGTCATTCGCGTGACAAAAACTATGAACCCTGTCGCTGGTCCAGCTTTAACCTGAGCCAGAGCCAGAATCAGATGTTTTGTGAGACCAGAGTGTTTCATGGTTCGTAAAAATCTTACCTCAGAAATAACCAGTTGATGTCTCAGTGGAAAAGTGGTAAAAGTGGGCACTGTTCGAAGACTTCTGCGCACCCTCCATCCCGTGCTGCGCATGCGGTCATGGGGTCAGCATAGAAATGGGGCACACATGCCGTGATATGACTTGCTCAGATCAGCTCCCTCGTGGAGTTGGTGTATAATATATGTGCTGAAAATTGGCAAATTAGATGTTGGCGCATATTAGTCTAAACATTCCCAATGCCTTGTTGTTAAACGTTTAAAATCAAATTTAGTTTTGGGCACTTCCTAAACTTCACCCACCAGCCCGAGAGGTGGTGGTGCCCGAGCCCACGTAGCTTCGCAGCTCACAGAGTGTGGAGACACGGAACCTCGGGGCCTTGTAAGCCACTCCTGGGCCAAATGCCGGGCTCTCTTGCCAGCGGTCGTGGAAACGTAGCACAAGACCTGCCTCGTTTCCGACAAAGGAGGGCGGCTGTGTGTGTGTGGGTTTGCCTGTGGTGTAATAGTTAGTGCACGGTGTTCTGTTCATCACCGCGACCTTTGATACCTGTCTGCAATGACTGTTGGCACATTATCACCTCGTGACAATTTGGGGATCTGAACCTGGTGGGGCCTCTCCTAGGTTTGCTGCATCTTAACCGATTGCTTGATGTGGCCATGTGGTCAACTTTCGTTACGGAAGTGATTGATGCCGACTCCACGATCCATCTCGTGTGCCGTCCCATTCTTCATAGGTGCTCGCTTATAGTACATTAACTGGCGTTCCTCAAGGCCAAATGTGACCTTTGTGTTATTATTTAAATGCACGCGCATTCATCTTTCCCTTAATCTTGTTGGTGCCAATTTTTGGTGTGCTCCATTCTGGGATATCCAACATGCTGTGGAAATGAATGCCAGCATTTTGACATATATATGCACTGCAGATAATGGCTAATTGCTATTGACTAAACTCGGACAGTGAATTTATTACTTTCTAAAAATGAGATGAGGGTTCTGTGCCGGGTGAGTCAAGGCTGCTCTCAGCAGCTTGACTATTTGGATGCCGTTTTTAATCGTCATGTGATGATTCATCAATTAAAATGAACTCCCACGTTGTCAGTGACCGCGTGGCTCAGTGGTCAGAGTGCCTATGCCACTGCTGTGATTAAACTGGGTTCTCAGGTTTAGGGAGTTGATGATGGGTCTCAGACTGGTCACGTGGTTCTTCAATTAATTTGGCTAAACCCCGGGTCTGAGAATTAAAAAGTAACGGATTGACTGTGATGCGACGAACATAGGAGCTGGCAGGGAAAGCACTCTTCTGATACGCTGTGGACTGGAGGTTCACTGGTAGGGATCTCAAGAGGGAGCTCTGTGATATCCGCTTTGGTAACACGAAGGGCTGCTCTTTGAGGGTTCTCATGGATTCATTCATCTCATGGCATGCCATCGATACCACAATTGGGATACAATAATGAGTAAAATATATCTGTTTTTAATGTATTCCTATGCTCACAATAATGCAGATATCTGCACGTTTGAGAATTATATTCGAATTGGCCACAGCTTTCCTTTAGGCCATTGGTTGGAACGAATGAGACAGAAAACACAATTTGACAGACAGTCTACAAACGACAGTGTAGCGTGACAAAAACTAATTAATTCCTAACTGTAAATCATGACAGTTAGTTCAATCTGGGGGGAGTTGAAAATGAATTATGTCTTACGCGCCTAGCGTTCACGTAAAAAACTAACTCTCATCTCATAAATCTGAGCAGTCACCAATAAACTAACCAACAAGTAACTGCAGCTCATATATATAATATACACAGCCACACAAACACAGCCTCCAGCATGGTAGGGAAGATGTTGCAGTGGATCACCGCATCTCTCCCTGCCTTGGCCTGTGAGTGCACGAGCGTCTGCCGGGCTTCCCCTCCCCTCGCCACGTCCTCCGTGGTGCAAACGCGGCCGCGGTGTTGGCACCACGGGCCTGCGTCCCGTGTCTCATTCAGTGGCAGAACCCACAGTGGCAGAGTCTAAATTCGCCATGCGCCACTACTCTGGTGAAATGGAATTCCCTGGGCGGAGAGGCGATGGCGTAAAAACTAAAAAAAAAAGATTTTGGTCGTCCGCACGTGAATCCATTAGTCCACACTTTGTCCAGAGTCTCGTGTGGCCATGCAGGCCACAAATATTGATCATGAACGCCACGTGACTTGCTGGTGCTTTATAATTGAAGAGATTATAAAAACATAATTATCACCTCCAAACTCAATGGCCAATGAACAAATCAAAAGCTAATTGGAATTGAGCCTGGATATTGCTCGGATGGGCGACCACCGTGCGTGACAGGAGTAATCGGCTATACGATGCTGTGGCCGGGCTATAATGTGGGCAGCTGAGAACCATATACAGCAGCATTATTGTTGTACTATACCATGCTTCTGCTTCTTTGCTCCCCGTCTTCAGTAACCTTCACTGACCGGCATAGTGGAAGTATTGTGGGGCGCCACGGTGGCGAGATGTTAACTACCTTGCCTGGTATACAGGTGTTCGTGTGTTCGATCCCGACCGTGATGTCTGCTGTATATTTGGAGTTTGCGTTGTCTCCCTCCCTGTGGTCGCTTGGATTTTTCTCTGGGTTCTCCGGCTTTTCCCTCCACATTTAGAATCAATGTGTGTTTCCAGCATTTGGCTGCTATACATTTCCACGTGATAAGCCACTTCGTTGAGCTATCATTTGTGGCCAGGTTGCTTCTGATAAAGAGCTATATATCTCAATGGGCCTTATCTGGTAAAATAAAAAGTTTAGTTTAAATTCGAGCACCAAAATAACCATCCCATGCACATCTCATGAGCCGTGTGACGGCGCTTGAAGTGAAAGTGACGGCGTGTGTCTCCCTTGTTGTGCTTTACGTTACCCAAGCTCTGGGCGGACGAAGTGGCGAGAGTGAGTACCGCGCGAGCACGGATTTGCACACTTTTCGTCGTGATTGCGTTCGCCAGCCCCGTCCGCCGAGTGTCCTTCCCCCCCACCCCCCGCACCTCCCATTAGCGCGGTTGGCCACGTACGCTGCGCAGGAAGTTCAACACGCACAAACACGTACATCTGTGTTTTCTCATGGGGCTCGCCGCCCTCGGCTGCCGTTGTTAATAACGCGGTCCCGCTCCCCCCCCCCCCTGCCCCCGTGTGCGTGCTGCCTGTGCGTGCTGTCCGTGCGCTCGCGTTCTTTGCAGGCCGAACAAGAGCTCCGTGTGACGCAGACGGAGTTTGACCGGCAAGCTGAGATCACGCGCCTGTTGCTGGAAGGGATTGGGAGCACGCATGTGAGTGCACGCACGCACGCACGCGCTTACAAGAGACAATGACAAAGATCCGCCATATAGCCTGCACAGGTTGCTGTGGCAAGTGCCATTAACCTATTAGGGGCAGCATTAGTGGGTGGTGTTTCCAGGGCTGCCTTGGTCTCCCAGGTGCTGATGTTGTACGTACCACACCTTGTACTCATTTAAGGCTGAGAGCAGATAATCCCAACTGATGTGAACTCTGGCTGGAAACCGTATTTGGGATGCAGGTTTCACGACACAGTGCACCAACTACTACGCCACCCCTCTGCCAGCGCACACACAGACATGTACACACAGACATGTACACACAGACATGTACACACAGACATGTACACACAGACATGTACACACAGACATGTACACACAGGCACGCGCACATCGTTACTGCTGGCCAATGCAGCGAATTCGAATGGTGAAAAACATATATTGGGCCAACACTCAACAGAATGAACAGATTAGGGCACTAATCCGCTTGCTCCACTGCCATTTACTGGCCAATTTATAGCCCTGCAAGTTGGGTGTCTCGCATGCGTAATCTTGGCATGAGCCACCTACCCCACATTCAAAGTACTGGATTCCAGGAGTGTACGACAGGTGATATATGAAACGCTGCTGCTATTAAAGCTGCAGACTTGGCACTGTGCAGTTCTGGATGGCACCAGTCAATGGGTGGAGGGTACTCGGACTGTGTGTGTATTGAGTGTCGGAGCGGTTTCGTGGTGGTTAGCGCATTGTGCTGCTAACCTGCTGATCCCAGTTTGATTCCTGCTCATGAGCAACACCAGTGACAAATTTCTGAACTGGTCCTTGGCCTCTCCTATGAGTATGTGGTGTAGGGTGTGAACATCAGCACTGGGGAGACAAAATGGCCTGGTGTGGTGCTGGCCATACCACCACCTTGTGTCCCACGCCTATCTTAATAGGTGCTCACTAACAGCACTTGCGGTCAGGAAGGCTAAACAGAGATCTGTGTGTTTGCGTGTTTGTGTGTGATGACAGGCGAACCACCACCGTGCACTCAAAGAGTTTGTGGAGGCCCAGGCTGCATACTACGCCAAGTGTTACCAGAGCATGGTGGAGCTGCAGAAGGAGCTGGGCAGGTGAGAGCCTCTCAGTCTCTAAATCCGTGCTGTCAAGTCACAATGCTGTCATCACGAAGGACGGCGCTGTGTTTCGCTGACGTCGTCCTACCTGGAAGCCAGCCAGCAAAGTGTTTTTTGTTTGTAATATAGTATGATAGGATACATCCGGCGGTAATAACCGAAACGCATTTCAAGACGCTTTGCAAAATAAAGTAGAAAATGCGGCACGAATTCGCCATGCCGAACAACGCACTGCGCAATCCAACAACGCATCGGAGACCGATGCTTTTCCCCACTCGACTTACGGAGTCCACCAACCCCTTCGCCTTCTCAGCTTCCCCACGTCCTTTGTCTCCAACAACAACTTGGCGGGGGCCGCGGGTTCCGGCGCCGCCTCGGCCGGCACCGGCGGTGGCGGCTCGGCGCCACCGGTCCCCACGCCATCCATCCTGGGGCTGCCATCAGCCGAGGGCGCCCCCCCTCTGGTGACCGGCACGCGGCGAGCGCGCGTCCTCTACGACTACGACGCAGCCGACATGAGCGAGCTGTCCCTGCTCGCCGACGAGGTGAGTGGGCAGGGCGGTCGACACGTGCGTCTCGGTGCCGATGTCTGTGTTTGTGTCCCGAGGCCAGGATCTCAGAGGTTCTGGTTCAAGCATTGGCTTCTCTCTCATTTTTTTACCGGCACATCCGAGCTGAGCCAGCGCAGGGCCCTCGCGTTTATGCGGCCTATTTGGGTTACCGTTGGCTTCTTGCCGTGCCAAGCCAGAACCGAAATGCGAAACCCCGGCTCCTTGAACGCAGAGTCCGCCAGATCGCCTTCAGGCATCTCGAGTCTAAGCATCCCTCGTGGTTTTTCTGTTGTTATCTTTCCACAGGTGGTCACGGTGTACAGTCTGCCGGGGATGGACTCGGATTGGCTGATGGGCGAACGCGGGAACCAGAAAGGAAAAGTTCCGGTCACGTACCTTGAGCTGCTTAATTGAGTGCACACCGTGCAGGCTTAAAGGTTCTCTGGAGGTGCCCTCGCTGCTCGGGTCTCCGCTGAGCAGTCGGCCTCCTCCATGCGCGCGTCCCCATTTCTCCGTTCAGTTTTGTTGTCCGTTCAAAAGAGAGTTTGTGTTTTCACACGCGGCTCTTATTCATTTGGAATCTCCAAGTCGGTTAGGGTTGTTTTAGTTTCAGGCCAGAAGGTGACAAATGCTTTGAAGCGTATGCCAGACTGAGATTGAACGATCGTCATTGCAATCATTTTCAACAAAAAATTCCGGCTGCTTTCTTGGAATACTGAGCATAAACGTTTTGCCCATATGCAGTGTCTGTGTGTAATTTAGAAGTCCGTCTAGGACTACTATACTACATTTAAAAGTTTTTTATTAACTCTCACCTTGTTTCGGTGTATACGTTGTATTGCCATGCACGTCTGGTTTCATCGGCGCCATTCATTTTCTGGACCAAGTGGACACTTTGATTTTGATGGAATGCGTTTTTAAGTCAATTTCCCCAAGAAAGCTCTGGAGTGTTGTGTATTGAGCAACCCTCAAGCCATGGAACCGGCGCGTGTCTCTGTTGCCCTCTCAGCAGCGGCGGGACTCCTCAGGGGAGCGGGGGGGGGGGGATGATGAGGGCCACTACCCAGGTCACAAAGCGGTGAGTGGGGGGGAGCGACAATAATTTGATAAAAATAATTAACAGCTTGCGTCACAAAGCGCCTGTATAATGGGGTAGCGTTGGCACGCAAGAGGAGTCGCATTACGCGTAGCAAATGGCGACATTAAAGGAGTGTTACCAGAAAACTAAGTGCTCGTTTTAACTATAGAGCGCTATTGACATTCAAGGCCAGACCTACTCGGTGATCCGTTCCGAACGATGCCAGTCGCATCAACTGGATTCTCCTTAAATGTTTAGCAAACTAAGCCAAATTTTCTAAATACCGGGGTTTGCACGCACACGCGCCTATGAGGCTGATTGTGCGCTTCTATTTTGTGGATTGTGTTTTAGTTTTTTCAAGTTGCGCTCCCACATTTAAAATTCAAGCGTAGATTTCAATCGTTTCCGCCGACTCCTTTCGCTGGAGTCTTGTCGTTATTTTGGTAGAGATGCTTACAAGTACGCTCCTCCGCGCCTGGGAATCAGCACCAAAGTGTTCGTGTTCCTCCCGCTATACTTTACACTGGGAAGTGATTTGGCAGGGTCCCCACCCCCTCTGCTCTGGCTGGAGAAACATAATAACAATACTATTATTTATTTTATAAAGCACCTGTCACATTGAAATATCTCAAAGCGCTATACAAACAAACTCGCAACTGTCGATAAAATCCGAGAGAAATATGGGAAAACATGACAATAACAATAATGACAACTACACTCGCACTGCAGACAGAATGAGACATTGATAAAAGCCAGTTATAATGATACTCGTCGGTAAGATCCAATCAGACTACAATAAAAGCCAATTAATAATAGGTTTTCAAAAACATAGTCCATGTCATGCCCGTGTCTCTAGACTCTTGTTTCAGAAGAGTCCTGAATTGGGGTTGATTGGCCAATTCCATTCGAAGAACGTTTGACAACTGTGGAATGAGTATCTGGAGATACCCAATCCTTAAAGGGAAATCAAGTTTAGTACAGGCAGGTCTAAAACTGACTTATTGTACTGCTATCTCCTGGCCAGTGTGCGACTCTGCGTGTTTGGGAGTTTCGCGGATCTGTGTGATCAACATCCAACAAATCATCAGTGGACGTTCTGCCATTTTCAACGCTTGGTTTCTTTTTTTTGTGATTTCCGTTCCCATCGCATGCTGTTGTTTCACCTAGAAAAGTACAAAACTGTCTGGACTGAGTCTTTCAGAGGTGAATGACTTCAGGGACCAAGGTTGTATAAGCGCTGGTGTTTGAAAAACAAGTGCATTGCTACCTTTGTCAGCTAATTCCATGTTCAGGGTACTGCGGGCAGGACGTATAAACGCTTTGAAACCTCCAGTGCTCTGCTTACTTGTTGCTATCGTCTGGCTGAACGAGCCACCGCTTTGCGAAGTTATCGCTGCTTCACGAGAAGTTTGAGGGTCAGGCAGTTTTTTTGTTTGTTTTTTATTGAAGTTTGAAACTATTCCTAAACCAATTTAGAATGTGAAGGTCGGGCTCAGAAGTAGGTCACTACATGACTCGAATTCAGAATTGTTGTAAATTGCTGACTCGTGTGTGTGTGTGTGCGTGTCAATGTACTTTTGTGTGTGTGTCTGCGTGCGCCATGTGTAAATGTAATCATTGAACACCTGCTTGTTGAGATGAGTGTACAGCGTTCCCCTGTGGCTGGAGCCTCTCTCACTCTGTTTGTGGTGGTCGTGGTGGTGCCATTTTTAACCCATTCCTCACCGGACACTGCGAAATCCGTTTTGCAGTTGCCGTTGATGCATGCGGCTTGTGCAGTTTGGGCTGTGGTACTCTGTGCAGTTTAATTTCACCGTTGCTTCCAGTGTACATATGAAGAAATGTGACCTTCACAAAAGCATGATGGCCATGCTCTGTCTACTTGGCATCAAGATGACTCGTGTCCTTTACCGATCGAGGCCTCGCTGAGTCTCAAGACTTTTTTTTCAGCAGGGGCCTGCCAGAGTTGTTTGGCCAAATCCCTTGTCCAGTGTTTTTGCCTGTCGCAGGAGACTGCAGCGCCCACGTTCGAGAGGCTCACGCTCTAGAACGGTTCCTGTCTGGACATGCAGAAATGTCAATGGAGCTCGCAGCTTTTCACAGCCAATTCATAATCCCGAGAATGGTCTTCCACGTGAGCGCACGCGTTAAACGTTTCTCTCACGCTTTCACCATGCACTGCTGTGAGCGTCTTCAGGAGTTGAAGATGCCTGAAGGTGACCACCCCCAGTCGTGTGTGGTCAAAGCTTGAGAGACGAAACGCAAAAGCACGTGGCCTAGCCCGAGTTATTGAGAAATAGGCACTACACGGAGTGATTTAGTCGAATTTGTTGTCCTTCCCCTGCACCTCCGCTGAGCATAGTTGGCTACATCCGGTGTGAAAGAAGTTCAACATACAGATACAAGGAAGCGGCTGTTAAATTTGGTACCACTGCTGGGGAAAGTTGGGCTGCAGGCGAGGTCAGGATGGACTTCACAGCTGTGGAGTTGGGGGAGGTGAGATGAGTTGCCGTCATAAGAAACGGGCCACGCTTGCTTTCGGCTACTTCCCCGGCACGGCATGGCGCGGTGTTCACGGGAGCGGTCGTGCCCCCTGCCGCCCCCCGGCCCCGCGTGTGGCGTGGCCGCAACGAGGCCGCGCCATCCGATGAAGATGTCTTACGTCGCTCGCTTCCGTGCCCGTTGTCACGACGCCGCAGCGCTGCGAGCGGCCCGCCGTGCATGTTTCCAGGACATTTTGTGCAAGCGATAGTAATATAAAAAAAATAAACTGTGTGAATGAAAGCATTGCCTTCTTGGCTTTTGTGGCTGTTCTCGAGACGGATTCGAGCACTGCGCGGAATTCTCGGCTGCTCCGGCTCGAGTGACCGGTTGCATCATGCGGTGAGGCAGAGTCCACATTTTCTAAATTCGAAAATTGCCCTCAAAACACTCAACCGAGACGACTTGGCAATAATCGCCCTCCCCTACTAGCAGACTTATGCCCCCAAGTTACTCTTGAAACTGCGGAAAACCATGGTCTCTTGAGTCAGCACCTTGTTAAACAAAATAAAGTTAAAACGTCTTTGGTAAGACCGTTGGGTCGATTAAAGTTAACCCAGAAGTAGTACGCAGCGTCATCTTCCAACGCGAGGCTGCTGACTGGAGGAGTTCTACCAGGGGATGTTTCTTCATCTGACGATGCCGCTCCCACACGGCTGGCGCTGGGGTGGGCCCCCTACCACCAAATCCTGCACCCTTGAGTTCTCATCTGGTTAAACAAAAAAACTAACTGCAGCAATATTGACTTAAAACTTTCGTGACTGCAGGAATTAATATTATTTGGTTCTTTCGGTAAAGTCACGTAGATAGAAAAAATAATTTAAATAATAAATAATCAAAATAATATTTTGATTATTTTTTCTATCTACCTGGCTTTACCGAAAGACCCAAATAATATGAATTCCTGCAGTCACGAAAGCTTTAAGTCAAGATTTTATTGTTATTCACTTCATTATTATTTTTCCATCTACGTGACTTTACCGAAAGAACCAAAGAATGGCAATATTGAGCTTTTAATATTTTTTTCCAAACTTTATCCTGATTGTGCTCTGTATGTATGTTGAACTTCTTATGCACCGTACGTATCCAAAAGTGCTAATCGGAGGTGCAGGTTCGTGTCATGAGACAATCCACGAGGATCAGTCGGGAGTGCATCCACCCCCTGTGTTGGAGAACGGACTGCGGAAGGAAACGTCACAGATTTGTTTCTGAGATCTCGAAAGACCTCGTAAGCACGAGGGGGCAGCATTTTCCCACCCACTTGACACAGTAATGTTCGTCGCGTGATAGTCAAACGAATATAGTTCTGCGGCATGCAAATTAGCTAAGATGTAGAACCAAGTTTAATGTGATAATTTGTATTTATTTGTGCAGTCATTGGTGACCGGGCAGAAACCATCAACTTTGTACACTCAAGAACCTAGTTTAACCACAAGTAGTGGCTGAAACCTGGATTCAAAACTAATATCGGCGGTGTTGGCCCTTAACATCCGAATCGCCCGACCCCTTTGGACTTTGTCAAGGGAAGTTTGAGCAAAATTCATGGCCGAGGTAGCAGAAAACATTCACGGAATAACGCGGAGAGCTGTGCCCACCTCGACCACCTGACACGGCATTTCTTAAAGGAAGTGCTTCATCCAACGTGGGATTACATGGACTTGATTATTAAAACTCATGCTTTCCGTGAATACCGTGACAAAACGACGGTGATACTAAAGAGCAGCCCTTCCTCCTGTGGCACCCCAAGCTCATCTTAACGTAGTTATGCCGCTGTACTCTTATTGCAACAACTTTTCATTGAACAGATATCAAACCTCGCATTCGTGGAGATGTCACCAGTGTTTGTCCATCTGTCAACATCCTCCGACCTTTCCCACGCATTAGCACCAACGTGCGAACCAGGGCCACAATTCCATCACTCGGAGGATTTGAACGACAATACGTCGCTTACCTCGTCAAGGAGTTACACGATCATCACGCAAACTCTGGCCATGCTCGCAGCAGTTGCTGCATCGCGCGCTTTCAGATGCGCTTCTGTGACAGTCTGGAACACTCTTCAGATATTAGGAAGTTGCTGGAGCCATGCACTTTTCAATCTAGATATAAAACTCATTTCTTTAGAATTGCTTTTTTGTGTTTAGTTTGTCCTTCGCCCACACTTCCAATTTGCACGGTTGCCTACATTCGGTGTGGAAAAAAAAGTTAAACATTCATCGGTGCCAGCGAATATCATCACGTGCAGTTCTGCAGCATCATTTTCAACATGTAGCCCACGTAGGTCAAACTTTAAATGACCAAACAAGGTGAAAATATGAGAGTGCCAGATCTGGGCTGTACGGTGGATGGGCATGCACAGTCCATCCAGCAACGTCCGCGGTCATCTCAGGGTGGCGCGCGTGCGTGGCCTTGCACTGTCATGTAGGACGGAGGGCTTCTTACACGTGACGTATGATCATGGCATGACATTCCCATGAATGAATGTCAATGTATCCTTTAATTAAAATGTGAGAAAAAATAGGCATTCAAAGTACTTTTGTGGTATCCCACATACGTTGGTAACAATACGCAAAGTCGAACAGCAATTCAAACTTTGTAGTGTCGATACAGTATGTTACTATGTAACACACTATACTTCAACACATGGGCAACAGGAGCAGCATCACATCACCGCTGCGTGTTAGAGACGGTGGTGAAGGCCGCTGGGATCGGATTCCTCTGCCGGATGAGAACGAACCCGGAGCCCGGCCCTGCTGAGCCTCCGAGCTGCGACTGGAAATCGTCGTCTGGCATCTCGTGAATGTTTATTATTGATGATGGGATTACACAAAAAATAAAACGTGCTTTAAATATACTTTAAAATGTTTATAATTCAAACAAAACAAACCGCGTTCAATTGAAGCACACCGCTCACTGCCGAAAACGTCCGCTGAAGACAGCCGTGGTGTGAATAGAAAGGGAGGTCAGGTGACTACGGCGGTCGCCCACAAACGAATTCGCCACTGCCAAGGAAGACGCGCGCTCGCGTTTCCCGATGGCGGAAAGCCGTCGGGGTCGACAGTGGAATTGTAATGCGCGTTCAAACAAATCAATCTCCTCATGCTGACGGGAGGGTTTCACTTTTCTTCGATGCATTCTGGCCGAGCAAAAGAACGCGGGGCAATACTTTCTGGGCACCCTTCGTGTATGTTCAGACGTGCTGGGCATCTGTGGAAAAGAGCTTTATAGCTCATCGGATTCCCCCAGTCTAAATAAAGATTCTGATAACATTGTAGTGGGAACCTTGAACACCATGTCATTCTAATTATCTACGTACATTCAAAAAACGACTTAAGTTACCCGTTTCTCTTACACGTTTAATAGAATTAAAACACATTTTTGGGTGCTGCTATCTAAGATCGTGTGATTATGACGAGTATGAATACAAACGTCAAAATGTTGTACGACCCATGTGTTCATAATGAACAGACATTCCTTATGCAAATGCATATCAATCGTCACCCACGCTAAGTGCCGTTTGTTCACACAAACCCTCTTAGAATAACATTATACAATGCAAAATTATTGATATGCATCTTCAGTTCTACATTATCATATCATGTGCCATATACTCGTCCATTGAACATCGCTGTGAATTCTGTACCGTTCACACGTTTTTAATTAAAAACATACAAATATTGACATTGTGTCCTGCCAGCCAGCCATTGTTACTGGAACTAAATCTGCGACGCTACGGAGCAGAAGACACCACCCGAACTGTGATATGGCCTCTGATGCTCCTGTATGACCTGGCATCTTCTTGTTGTCCCATTGTCATGGCCTGGCCTTATCTTGGTCTCTAATTGTCACACCCTGGCATTGTCTTAACCTCTCATTGTCACGATCTGGCTTTGTATTGGTCAACAATTGTCGTGATCTGGCATCGTCTTATATCATATTTGGGTGAGTGGTAGTGTAGCGGTAAGCGTGTTGCACTACGAACCCGGCGACCCAATTTCAATTCCCACTGACAGCCATCAACACCAGTGACGAATGCATGAACGAGTCCTGGGCCTCCCCTCGGTCTACTCAGCATTACACACACAACCCTCGTAAAACACTGCTGAAACCATAAAACACAGTAGGTCCACTGTCAATGGGTTAAAGAGATGGCGGGTGAATGATTGCGACGGAGGTATTGGCCATGCGAGCCAGCACATCAGCTGCCGCTGCTATCGGCATAACTGAGAGCATCAAAGAGGCCAATTACGACCGCTTAATCGCGTTAGGGAGTGGTGTTTGAGGCTACAGTAGGATGTGGGGCAGTGTCGTAAAAGCCCCTTCCTGGAACCGCCATTAAAGCGCTGCTCTCCACACCTCCTACAGAGGAATGAGATCACAGGGGTGACGTTCGCTACTCGCGGTATTCGCCTACGGTGCACGGCTGTCTATCGCGAAGGCGCTGTGCCACACAGACAGGTACAGCCTGCAGTAGTCTCGCAGCAGGGGGGCGATGTCGTCTGTGTGGGTTTACCCGATTAGGTCATTTCCAATCGGATTTAAAATTTGCGAAATTTGAACCGTGAACGACACACAATGGCCCATTTTGAGGAATAACGTCGCGGGACCTTCAACGTTGAACTTCTTTCGCGCGGTACGTAGCCAACCGAGCTGACGCCCCCTGTGTCGTGGAAGATGGGTAGCGTTTGGTTAATCCGGGCGTAGTATTGACCAGGGCGGCCGAGGGGGCTCATGACCTCGAACCTGTGCAACGAGTGGCAAGTGCGCTACCCCTCGGCCACGTCATCGCCAAACTCCTAAAGAGAACCAGGGTTCCAAGCCAAGAATCGCCTCATACTGGGGTCACAGGCTGCCTTGTGAGGACACTTAAAGTCGCTTGCAGCTGCCATTTTAAAACCCCGCTCTCAAATCTCCCAGGTCCTGACCAGAGCATTGGGGATCAAACTGAGAATCATCTCATGCTGGGGACACTGCGTATCTGTGAGCAAACACGGGGCTCTGTAGGGAAACACGGGGGGTCTCTGAAGAGTGACGGTGTCGCCTGGAGCTGCCATTTTAAACCCCCCGCTCTCGAACCTCCTAGAGGAGGTGCTGACGAGAGCACTGGGATCAAACCGAGGATCACCTCACGCTGGAGGGCACACGGCACGCCGGGCCGTGTCGCCCGCCAACGCTCACATGTAGAGCTGCACGATGACGAAGGCGAGCCAGCAGATGCAGAGGCACAGGCCGAACGAAAGGCTGAAGAGCACGAGGGCCCGGGTGCGTCGCGACGACTCCTGCGCCGCCAGCAGGTCCCCCCGGTGGAACGCGTTGCGCGTCTACGGAGGAGGGAGGGAAGGGTACGAGACAAAGTCATCGTCATCGTCGTCGTCGTCGTCACCATCATCATCGTCGTCATCGTCGTCACCGTCATCATCGTCGTCATCGTCGTCGTTGTCACCGTCATCGTCGTCATTGTCGTTGTCACCGTCATCGTCGTCGTCACCGTCATCGTCGTCGTCACCGTCGTCATCGTCATCATCGTCGTCATCGTCGTTGTCACCGTCATCGTCGTCATCGTCGTCATTGTCGTTGTCACCGTCATCGTCGTTGTCATTGTCATCATCATCGTCGTTGTCACCGTCATCGTCGTCATCGTCGTCATTGTCGTTGTCACCGTCATCGTCGTCATCGTCATCATCATCGTCGTTGTCACCGTCATCGTCGTCATCGTCGTCATTGTCGTTGTCACCGTCATCGTCATCATCATCGTCACCGTCGTCATCGTCATCATCATCGTCGTTGTCACCGTCATCGTCGTCACCGTCATCGTCGTTGTCACTGTCATCGTCGTCACCGTCATCATCATCGTCGTTGTCACCGTCATCGTCATCATCGTCGTCATTGGCGGCGGCGCGGCCCCCACCCCCCTGCCCACCTTGTTGGAAGTGACGATGGCGCAGAATCCAGTGCACAGGCAGCAGAAGAGCGTCACAAGGATGGACTCGAGGAGGTAGTCCTTGGGTGGCGCCTGGACCTGTGTGGTGAGGTCCAGCACCTGGACACGGACGGGGGGGAGCGACGTGGCACAGGCGGGAAGAGCCGTTAGCCGCACCTCCGATTAGCGCGGTTGGCGACGTACGGTGCGAAAGAAGTTAAACGTACATACACACGCACGCACACACACGCGTACACACACAACAAACAAACCGCCATTCGCCACTAAGTGACGGTGACGTCACCACGACGCTTGTGCCAGGCTATGTGCACCTTGAGGCCACGTGAAGTGTCGAATGCCCGCTGGCAGGAGGTCACGGGGCAGACCCTGCAGGTGCCATGGGTCGACTGACTGAGATGAGTGGCTGATGCACCACCTGTGCCCCCTACTGTGCCAACCTGCTGTGCTTTAGCCACTCGGCGCTCCGCTCGTTGTTGTGAGCGTCGCTCCTCCGCCCTCCGTTGTTGTTGGAGGGCGACTACCTCCAACTGCCCAGTAGCGTCCTTCACGAGCCTCCTCCACAGAGGCCGATCTTGACACCGCTGGTACCAGTCATCAGCAAGTCCACTCAGCTCCACGTCCTCCTGTACCACACCACTCCATCTCTTCTCTAGCCCGTGCCGCGCCCGTTTAGCCCCCTCGATCCGGCCGAACAAAAGCTGTTTCGGCATGCGGTGGCTGTGCATGCGGGCTACATGACCCAGCCAACACAGCCTTGCCTGCCGGAGGAGCTCACCGATGGGACCTTTCCCAGATCTTTCAAAGATTTGTGAGCTCCTCACACAATCCAGCCTGGTTAAACCCAGGATGGATTGTAGGCAGGCTAGCCTAAATGTTTCTAACCGGCGAAGATGTTCCATTAAGGGGGTCCACATTTTGCAAGCGTAGAGAAGGGAGGGAATGACCGTGGCCAAAAAGACCTGAAGCTTAGTGCGGAGCGACAGACCAGGTAGCTTCCACACAGCGTTACGCAACCGATGAAAAGATATTGCCGCTCGACATAGAGACATATACACATATACACACACACACATAGAGACATATACACATATACATACACACATAGAGACATATACACATGTACACACACATGTACACACACACGTACACACACGTACACACACATGTACACACACACATGTACACACACACACATAGAGACATATACACATGTACACACACACACGTACACACACACATAGAGACATATACACATATATATAAGATACACTTGGCTCTGTGCAGAACTGCTGTATGATGTTTGACTCAGTCTGTTACAGGTTGGCCACCTCTACCATAGAGAAACGCCACGGGAATGTTTTATTTTTTTATTTCTGGAGACAGAGAGGCATTATGTGGTAGATACAGGAAAAGAGGAAGGCCTTGAGCTTAGACTTGAACAGAGGGCAGGGAGTCGACAGCACGGATGGATTGGATAAAAACGGAGTTCATTATTCTTTATAAAGTTGTTTTGAGCACTATAATTGTTTTATATACGGTACATATATAATTCATTTCATCGTGCAGTGCTTTCTGGCTCATCGGATTCATCCGGTATGAATATATATTGATTCAAAAGGCCCAATATCGCAATAAAGATCGATTGATGTGAGAGGGCATGTACAGCTGGGTGTCATTGCCACCAGGGGCGGAGCCAGGATTTTGACTTTTGGGGGGCTGACTTCAATATTCTGAGATATCCAGTCTATGGTTTCCAATGGGCGCCACAAATGTATAAAACACATTTTATTGGATTTGAACGCGGAGTTTATTAATAGGTCGGAGCCACTGATGTGGCTAATAAGTTCGATAAGTTCGCAAGGCTGCCGCTCAAGCAGCCTGCAGGGCAGCACAAGGTGGCAGCCTGCAGGGCAGCACAAGGTGGCAGCACAAGGTGGCAGCCTGCAGGGCAGCACGAGGTGGCAGCCTGCAGGGCAGCACACAAGGTGGCAGCCTGCAGGGCAGCACACAAGGTGGCAGCCTGCAGGGCAGCACGAGGTGGCAGCCTGCAGGGCAGCACGAGGTGGCAGCCTGCAGGGCAGCACACAAGGTGGCAGCCTGCAGCATTTTGCAGCAGCCGGATATCCGATTATCCCGATTACCAACTTTCCCAAAATTTCAGGGGGAGCTGAGCCCCCCCAGCCCCCCCCAGCCCCCCCTGTGGCTCCGCCCCTGATTGCCACTGAAATGCCAGGGCCGTGTTGAGGCTGGAGATTATTTTGGCAAGGCGAAACGACAGAAATTAAAATGGGATCAGCACAACAAAGACCATCACTCGCAACTCCCGATCCATTCTAAAGGCATTCATGTAAAGATAAGCCACCTGCTTAGATGGGATATAAACACCGTTTATCTTTTATTTGCTCGGTAGAGAAGTGAGACTACAGGTGAAGTCGGTTATTGAGAGTGAGCGGGGCTGATCAGAGCGCTGACGTGGCTAAAGTCCCCTTCTTGGTCTGTGCTTGGAAATTTCAGTCCGCCAAGCGCTCATTTGAGGTCACGTTAACCCAGGGAAGGTAACCACTCATCTCAGAAGCTGGTGATCTTAATGAATAAAACGGTAACTTATTAATTCATAAAACGCCAACTACCTCGCAAAATGATGCGTTATTTCAGTGCTGTCTCAAGCGGTTTAAAACCTACATGATATAATGTAATCGTGATAACAATCGTAATAATATTCCTTATTTAATCTAGGAAAGGCTCACTTAGGGGGGCTGCGTTTAGGATGTTTCACCTGTTCGTTCTGGTGCTTTACACGTGGAGCAAAAACAAAATAGAGAGCACACGATGACAACCAACCCCAAACCAGAGGGTACATCGCTCACAGAATCCACACAGATGTGTTCACAAATTCACTTCCCGCTCTACCATCTCCAGGCCAACTCCCAGCTCCGCGGGGGTTTGGGAGCTTCCCAAGATCTGCTTGACCCACCACCCCCGTGTCACCAAGGCGGCGGGGAGCCACTGAGCGCCACTCCCCCCCACGTCCCCCGTTCACAGCGAATTGTAAACCGGTGATTTACTGAGAGCAAAATCCTGGCCGTGTTTCTTATGGGGTTCGAGCCATAAAACTTCCAAGGGAGGAGGCATTTTTTTAGTTTACCAAGTCCTAAAATATGTTACAACTTGTTGGACTCTGTTTAGGTTTCAAGGTTATTTTGTTTAAACAGGTGGGAACTAACTCAAGAGGCCAATAAAGTGACCAGGGTGGTGTTAATTGAAATGTTAAGGTGACCACAGAGGTCCAAAGCTATCTCATCTGCTCTTGAAACATAGTTATTTTGGGAACCTCACCAATGCTAAACAAATTAGTTGGTGATGATACTGCATTGTCAATGGTGCACAAATCACAATTAACAAACAAAATCAACACTCTTCAACAAACAAAAACAATGGTGCTTCTTCAAAGCATCCCCCAAAATGTGACTGATTATATATATTATGACAGCGTTATTCACGGAATTGTGTAGAGTTTTGTTAATTAGTTCCTTAGAATGGCAGCATGTGGCTGCTGAAGCATGTGCTAAACACGTGTGCCCTAGAGACGGCTACCATGCCCGTCACTGCTGGTGTACACACAAACACACAAACAACAACAACCGCCATTCGCCACTAAGTGGCGGTGACGTCACCACGGCGACTGTCAGGCTAGGTCCACGTTAAGGCCACGTGAAGTATCGAATGCCCGCTGAAAACCCACACTTTACCCCACCACACGCGAGCTGTCGATGGACTCGCTGCGGTGATGCCTGCCGGTTATACTGCTGCTGGGTGGACAGAGGCGGTGGGGGTGGGTTTAAGAAACTTGCACCGTTCCGACTGCCGCGCCAAGAGATCAGACCGGCGACCTCCTCTGCATTGCCAGCCCAGTGTGCTGCTAAAGCGTTCTCCACCATGGTTAGCGTCCCTTTTGGAGTGGAAGATGGCAGTAGCCTTTAGGCGGCCCACTCTGTCGAGTGAGAAACCATGACGGATGCGGTCAACGCGGCGACCGAACATGGATAGTCGATCTCCCGCTCTCCAGAGCGACAGCAACAATACGAGGCCACGCCAACGGCCCTGTTCAGGGCCAAGCAGCGCGCCAGATGGGCCCTAGGGAAGAGGAGCCTCCAAATGGACATTACGGGACTCTCACGGGCGACGTGCGAGCATCTCGCTGTTGTGACGACAACCCACAGTAACATTGATGTCCCGCACAAATACGAAGGAGACATCACAGCGATGATGATACACTACTCCCCTGCTTTCTGACGCAGTTGTCTGGGCTTGACCACCTGAATGTGAAATTGTAGTCGTTGCTTTGCGTCTACATCAGCAGCTGTACGAAAGAAGAAGGGGAAGAAGAAGAAACGTCCCTTTTTTAACAGCTTTGCGAATACGGAGCCGCGTGCTCAGAGCGGGGTTCACGCTGACCGCTAAAACCCGGACGGTGGGAGGTCAGCGGCGTACCAGTGCCTGAGCTTTAGACCTCGAATTTACAAAGATCTGCGGCACCCTTTGAAGTGACAACGGGCGGTTATAGCAGAGACGGGACAGTTAGAACGGAGACTGGGAGGTTAGAACGGAGACTAGGAGATTAGAACGGAGACTGGAAGGTTAGAACGGAGAGGTTAGAACAGAGACTGGGAGGTTAGAACGGAGACTGGGAGATTAGAACGGAGACTGGGAGGTTAGAACGGAGACTGGGAGATTAGAACGGAGACTGGGAGATTAGAACGGAGACTGGGAGATTAGAACGGAGACTGGGAGATTAGAACGGAGACTGGGAGGTTAGAATGGAGACGGGGCGGCGTGCCGTGTCCCCTCCAGCGTGAGGTGATCCTCGGTTTGGTGCCAGTGCTCTCGTCAGCACCTCCTCTAGGAGCATTGAGAGCGGGAGGTTTAAAATGTCAGCTCCAACCCACATAGCCCCTACCCCATAACGATCCACCAACCCTTACGTCCAAAGCACACAACAAACCAGGCACCGGTTAATGGCTGAGTCGCTCTAAAGGAGGCTCAGAACCGGCACCACTCAAGTGTGTGTGTGGCTAGTAATTGAGTGCAAGTCGGCGGGTTCATAGGGCAAAATGCGAAACAATCCCCCACATTTACCGTACACTCAAAGGCAGCCGCTCCACAAAGGGCTGCAAACTAATTATTTTTGTATGGCTCGAGATCAAAGGGAAAGATAAGCCAGAGCAATAAAGGTTGAGAAGACAGCACATCTGGGTGGCAGCAATGCGCAAATTACCAGAGAACAGCACATAGACAACAGCAGGCCGCTGACCCCCTAGTTGGTGGTGAACAAAAACAAGACTCGATCCACTCCTGGCCTCCTTGCACCCCGGGTCAATAACAGCAACAACGCTTCCAGCAACATCCTCACTATCATCATCATCATCTGCAGCAGCATCAATGTATCATCATAATTTTACATTACCATCATCCTCTTCATCATCATCACCACCACTTTGTCACCATCAATATCAGCAGCTACTGCATCATCATCGTCATTATCTCTTCCAGCATCACCCTTGAGAGATTGTTGTTTAGCTCAATGGGCCCCGTCCAGGTTAAGTAAAAATAAATGAACTAAACTAAACTCATCTTTCATAATAATCAAATAAGCAGCAGCATCTTTACATATTATCATATCTTATTTTGCGTTAATATCTTCAAAGTCATCTTCCTGTGCATATGAACCTCCATTCCATCATCTTGGGGAAGGATTTGAGCAGCAAAAGCTGTGCACTCCAGAGCTAACGCACAAACGCAATTGTGCCATGAGCAGCAGCGGATTGGTTACATTTTTGTGCAGTTATTGGCCACGCAGGATTTGTACATTTTTCATTTTTTCTGAAGAGTGAGGCAGAATGAGACATCATTCTATCAAAAGGCGATGGAATTGCGGCAAAAATAGCGACACGAACCAGGCCCCACGCAATCATTTGGCACTGACACAGAGCGGTGCATCGCTACGCGTTAGAAATGGACCCGCGGAGGCAGATATCACAGAAATAATCCTGAAATTCCTTCAAGTGGCCTCTTGTACACACACACACATGGGGGCATGTTACTTTCCCACAACAACCTGCTAACATAAATGTGTGTTACATGGCAGTCAAACTGAAACGAGCATTCTCAGTATAATCCCAAATTTTATTTGAAGTCACTGGTGACCACCATTACACTTGAACCCCTCCCCCCCCCCCTGTTTAGTCCAAACTATTTGCTTTCCAGACAATTTCATGATAATAATAATGATTTCCTGACTCAGAAAAGCCACACTAAGTTTAAATCTTCTTTCAGGAGGGTTCTGTTACATTGCGATGGTTGACGAACACCGATGACATTGTAAAAGAGCTTTATAGCTTATCGGGTTCCTCCAGTATAAATAAAGATGATGATCCTGCATGCTGTTTTATTTACGGCAGGAAACTGGAGGACCTGGAGAAAATCCATGCCAACTATCCAACAGCATTCATTTCTGGAATTGGTTTCGACCTTCTCAGTGTCATCAGCAAAGTTAAAGATAATAATAATAATTTAAACTTGTAACACGCCACACGGGGTTTGCTCGGAGAGGCACGGGGAGAGACCACAGATGGGTGGTGGGCAGGGCAACAGCCACATTCCTATCACGTTTTTGAATTGTTTGTTGTTGTATTGTTTGTTGTATTGTTTGTTGCTATATTGTTTGTTGTATTGTGTTTGTTGTATTGTTTGTTGTTGAAACGTCCTGACCCGCCCTGAAGGGACATCTACGCAAAAAAGCTTCACAGCTCATCAGATTCCTCCAGGATAAATATTCTGATTCAATTCCCCCCCCCCCCCCCCGCCATCTCTGCAATCCCCTATATATGAATGTGTTGCCGGCCAGTCAGTGAGTGTTTCCATGTGGAAGGAAACCGGAGCACCCGGGGGCCGACACGGACACGCAGGCGAGGGTCAGCGCCGCACACTCACCGTCTGCCCCGGAGCGAAGGCAGGGTACGGCTGCTGCTGGATCGGGTAGCCCACGCCGACGCCGGGCGGCGGCACCGGGTACGGTCCCGGGTAGAGCCCCGGCGGGAACGCTGCGTAGCCGTGTTCGCCGGACGGGCCGCCAGGGCCGGGGTAGAACGGCGGCGGCGGCGTGGGGCTCTTGCGGGCGGTGAGGGAGTACGGGGGGGGGTCGCCCACGAAGCCCGCGTTGGTGTAGGCCGGGGGAGCGCCGGCGAGCTCCGCCTTGCCCCGTCGCGCCGACTCGGCCGTGCCCGGACCCGCAGCGTCTCGTCCGTTCGAGCCGTCTTCGTTTTCTGAGCGGACGACAGAAGGAACGCGCAGGTTTTCCCCCGAATTCTCCCGTTACCTGTCAGAGCTGAGCACGTACGTCGTTGGTGCCGGCCAAACATCCCGATGTAATTGGACCCTCCGTGAAGAGAGAATTTCAATGTAATCTGTGAGCTGTTCCAACGTCCCCCACTGCTCGCCAAAGACCTCCGCCCGTGCCTTCCACTTCTCGCCATCTCTTGCCACCTCCATCCAGCGCGCGCCTCCATATGTGCTAAATATTCCGCGCTGAAACTTGAGACATCTTTACAACACGAAAGGTATATATCCTACCGCGAGCATTGAGCGTGAGCCAATACCAGAATCCTCCCGTGATTAGAACAACCACTGTTGACTTTCCACCAAGTGATACGCTTCGTGAACATCATCAGCCATGGTCAATCCACTGCTGAATGAAGGCATCTGAAAGCCAGCACCATCTGTCGCAATCACGCGATGTAACAATCCACCGAGCACACCTGCACGCAAGCTGATTCCATCGTTCCATCTCTCTGGGGGACGTCTTATCAGATGCGTTCCATTCCTTGGCTTCCACTCCATCATTACTGTCGATCATCAGCCATCACTCACTTTTTTTTAAAGCAGTTTGATTCACGTCCCGAACCTGCTGTATGTTCTCCAATCCACGGGTTCCTCCGAGTCTCAATGTGATTCCAAGGATGCCTCTCCACACGTGTGTTTGTCCTTGACAGCCTTGCCGAGTTTCAAATCTATTTCTGGAAGGTTCTGCATTGGGGTGTTTGGTTGATTCCTCGGACGCAGCCGTGGCGCCGAGAGACCCGGAATGACGATGTCTGTGGTCTACAACCAACGCTTCATTAACTGGAATCATGGCACGGGTTAAACAGAAATCTCAAACTATGCAAAGCACATTTCAAGGAGGATTTCGAAACAAATTTACTGTTTTACCCACGTAGAGTTGCGGGTTAAGCCGGAGAGTGCTTCACGTTGTTTATTTTGCACCGTTTATGAATGCAAGCGGCTTACTTCTCACCACGTTCGCGATGATCTCCGTGACTGCCAAGTCACCAACCCTCGACGAGTCAGGAACAGCCAATAATGACACCGGGCTGAGTTCATTGAGGCACGGATGAGCGCGGTTCATCTGTCGCCCTGGATAATGGAGCGTTAACGGCGCATGCTACAGGGCTGTTGCATGGACTCACACAGGAAGATATTGAACATCTTAGTAGGTAAATGGATCAGTGAGTCACCTTCTTTAAGGTTGATCCAGACCCGGCCAATATAACAGTGGGAATCAAGGCAGTCTCCCAAGTCAATGTCTTGGTTTAGTCAACAATGTGAAGGCTACACGGGGGATCTTTGTTTTCGAGAGTGATGGTGGTGATATCATTGATGGTGAGATCATTGATGGTGATGGTGATATTGGTGGATAATTTCAGTCATTTTCACGTTTGATGATTTTCGTCAACTCAAAGTAACCGGTGACTCAAATAAATATATAACATAACACACTTTGTTGTCGACAATAGTTGTAATTAATTTCACGAGCAAAGTTTACACGGCCATCGCCACTGCAACAGTGTCGAGTATTTCAGGAATGCATCCTAGCCCCTGAAGAGTATCCATGCCGCTTCTGTGCAGCAGCAGCTGCAGCAGGGTGAGGAGATTGCTCGATTTATGATCAGGTAAGAGCAGTGGTGATTGCACTGTACCATGAACCCGGTCACCTGAGTTCGAGTCCAGGCCAATGGTCTCGATGAATGCCTAGGAGGGATGACGTCAGATTGTCTAGAATCTCGATCTGGGGTCGTCATCCCAAAGAACAAGAAGATACATTTTTTGCGAATTCGGTCATTAACTGCAACGTTATAAGAGCCGCAATGCCACGTGAATAACGTCACGAACAAGTCCTTAAAGAGGTCGCCCACGCTCGCTGGCTCGCATGGTAAATCAACTAATTCTCGCCACGCCCTTCACGATGACCAGCGTGGTGAAGTATGGTCAAACAACAACCCCCACCTTGAGTGATCCACACAACATAGGCGTTCGTGCAGCAGTTGATTGGAAAAATGATGACAATTATAAGTTTAGAACCCATGGATACTAGCGGGTAGCTGCATTGAGTGCATATCCAGCTAAACAACAAACTCCAGATGCATACAGAGAAAACAAATATAATTTGACGGCTAAATCACCGCAAGAAACGATGTCTATACAATGCCGTGAGGAGTAAAACCTCACAGTGAGAACGATGCTGGTGGCAACTCCATAATAATTGTACACTTGGTGCAGCGATTTTGGCTGTGACTGGTCCCACCTGAAGACGGAAGCTTGCGTTGCCTCCGAAACGTCGTGTTTTAATTGTTTATTTTATTTAAATTCGTTTTACCTACGTGACTTTACCGAATAAAACCAAAGAGTAGCAAAACAACTGATTGTTGTACTGTAGTTCTATGTCACCACATCTACAGTCCTCACTAAGCATCGTGGTGAGAGTCTGGTGAAACAATCTCACGGCGTAGTGAGGCCCTCATCATCCAGCAGTGGATTTACAGACCTCTGCCGGGTCACTCTTGCAAATGAGACTCTCCCCTCACTTCTCACCTCGTTAAACACAAACCAACTGAAAACCCTCATTATTTCATTTTTTCTAAACCCCAGAACAACAACAACAACACAAATAAACAATCGTGCAGAGAAAAAAACTATTTCAAAAACAAAAAAACTACACAGGTACCAACTTGCCAAGTGGCTGTCGACACGAGGGCTCACCTGGGTCCATCCCGTCACCTCCACCCCGGGGAGTGGGGGGCTGCTCGCTCCTCTCGCTGTGCACCGGGGAGTTGGGGGGGGGGGGTTGGGGGGGGTTGGGGGGGTTGGGGGGTGTTGGGGGGGTTGGGGGGGTTGGGGGGGGTTGGGTTGGGGGGGTTGGGGGGGGTTGGGGGGGTTGGGTTGGGGGGGTTGGGGGGGGTTGGGGGGGGTTGGGGGGTAGGGTTGGGGGAGGGGGTTGGGGGGGGGGCCCTTCCCAGCCGCTCGCAGCTTCGTGGACGCCGCTGCCGCTGCCACACTCGGGCCTGTGCTGGACGCGTGCGAGCCAAGTTTGTCACTGTGTGTGTCACTGTGTGTGTCACTGTGTGTGTGTGTCACTGTGTGTGTCACTGTGTGTGTCACTGTGTGTGTGTCACTGTGTGTGTGTCACTGTGTGTGTCACTGTGTGTCACTGTGTGTGTCACTGTGTGTGTGTGTCACTGTGTGTGTCACTGTGTGTGTCACTGTGTGTGTGTCACTGTGTGTGTCACTGTGTGTGTGTCACTGTGTGTGTGTCACTGTGTGTGTGTCACTGTGTGTATCTCTTACTGTGTGTGTGTCACTGTGTGTCACTGTGTGTGTCACTGTGTGTGTGTCACTGCGTGTGTATCTCTTACTGTGTGTGTGTCACTGTGTGTCACTGTGTGTGTCACTGTGTGTGTGTGTCACTGTGTGTGTGTCACTGCGTGTGTATCTCTTACTGTGTGTGTGTCACTGTGTGTCACTGTGTGTGTGTCACTGTGTGTGTGTCACTGTGTGTGTGTCACTGCGTGTGTATCTCTTACTGTGTGTGTGTCACTGTGTGTCACTGTGTGTGTCACTGTGTGTGTGTCACTGTGTGTGTGTCACTGCGTGTGTATCTCTTACTGTGTGTGTGTCACTGTGTGTGTGTCACTGTGTGTGTCACTGTGTGTGTGTCACTGTGTGTGTCACTGTGTGTGTGTCACTGTGTGTGTGTCACTGTGTGTGTGTCACTGTGTGTATCTCTTACTGTGTGTGTGTCACTGTGTGTCACTGTGTGTGTCACTGTGTGTGTGTCACTGCGTGTGTATCTCTTACTGTGTGTGTGTCACTGTGTGTCACTGTGTGTGTCACTGTGTGTGTGTGTCACTGTGTGTGTGTCACTGCGTGTGTATCTCTTACTGTGTGTGTGTCACTGTGTGTCACTGTGTGTGTGTCACTGTGTGTGTGTCACTGTGTGTGTGTCACTGCGTGTGTATCTCTTACTGTGTGTGTGTCACTGTGTGTCACTGTGTGTGTCACTGTGTGTGTGTCACTGTGTGTGTGTCACTGCGTGTGTATCTCTTACTGTGTGTGTGTCACTGTGTGTCACTGTGTGTGTCACTGTGTGTGTGTCACTGTGTGTGTGTCACTGCGTGTGTATCTCTTACTGTGTGTGTGTCACTGTGTGTCACTGTGTGTGTCACTGTGTGTGTGTCACTGTGTGTGTGTCACTGTGTGTGTGTCACTGCGTGTGTATCTCTTACTGTGTGTGTGTCACTGTGTGTCACTGTGTGTGTCACTGTGTGTGTGTCACTGTGTGTGTGTCACTGCGTGTGTATCTCTTACTGTGTGTGTGTCACTGTGTGTCACTGTGTGTGTCACTGTGTGTGTGTCACTGTGTGTGTCACTGTGTGTATCTCTCACTGTGTGTGTGTCACTGTGTGTATCTCTCACTGTGTGTCACTGTGTGTATCTCTCACTGTGTGTGTATCTCTCACACTGTGTGTGTCACTGTGTGTGTCACTGTGCGTGTGTCACTGTGTGTGTCACTGTGTGTGTATCACTGTGCGTGTGTCACGGTGTGTGTGTAACTGTGTGTCTCTCTCACTGTGTGTCTCTCACTGTGTCTCTCACTGTGTGTGTCTCTCACTGCGTGTATGTCTCTCACTGCGTGTGTGTCTCTCACTGCGTGTGTGTCTCTCACTGTGTGTTTCACTGTGTGTCTCTCACTGTGTGTGTGTCTCTCACTGCGTGTCTCTCACTGTGTGTGTCACTGTGTGTCTCTCACTGTGTGTGTCACTGTGCGTCTCCCACTGTGTGTGTGTCACTGTGTGTCTCTCACTGTGTGTGTCTCTCACTGAGTGTGTCACTGTGTGTGGCACTGCGTGTGTGTCACTTGTGTGTGTCACTGTGTGTCTCACTGTGTGTGTCTCTCACTGCGTGTGTCTCTCACTGTGTGTCTCTCACTGTG